GTATTTTCAAACAATTCCCCATTGGTATCTGTGCATGATTGGTGCCAGGACTCCCTTGAACACCCAAATCCTCTGATGCTCCAGTTCTCAATATGAAATGGCATTGTATTTGTATATAACCTACACATATTCTCCTATATACTTTAAATCTAGATCACTTAGAATACCTAATATAATGCAAATGCTGTGTAAATAGTTGTTATGTGTATTGTTGAGGGACTATTGACCTGGGGCTGGTGGGGAATGTGTACCTGTTCAATACAGACACTATTTTTTCCCAGCATTTTTGATCCACACAGGGTTGGACCCATGGATATAGAGCCTACAGATAAGAAAGGCTGATTGTAATCATTGATAAAAGTTTGCTTATAGGATTTCTTCGATCTTCTAATATTTGTTACTTTTAATTTTCAAATATGCCCCAATTATGTATTCAGAGACTCATTTTGGTGGTACCCTTTAGTGGAATATTGTTATAATGCAAAAGCTTATTTTGCTCTTCTCATTTTAAAACCAAGATTCCACTAGTATGCCTAGTAGGCAAACAGCCAAATTATTGCATTATCCAGAGCAAATATTACTGACAGTTTTACTCTCTTGGGGGAGTGAGAAATGTAATTTCCCTTCCTGGTTTAAGTAAACAAGTTGTGGGGTTCATGGTGTATTTTGTAACATGCATGCAGAAAGTTTTGATTTTTAAAAATTCTAAAATAATTAAAACTTGTATCATTCAGCCTTATAATGCATACCTATAATTTAAAACCTCAGAGTTTGTTGGTTTTGAAAGACATTAGTATAATGAATAATGCAAAGAGCCTCTGGATTATTTTTAATGCATCAGATCCTGTACCATGGTCTGTGTAAGAGAAAGGAGACTTGTTTATAGTTTGAGAGACTGGTGTCTGGGAGACTGGTCTCGGAGCCCCCCAGCAAGCCCAAAGTGGATACCACATCTTTATGCTGTGCTCTGAGGGGCCTCATACAACAACATGCTTGGTTACATACAGTAATGAGAAGCCTTGTTTGAGGCAGTGTTTGTGCTTTTAAAGATTGATTTAATCACATTCAGGGAATGCATCTGATTTAAACATAGCTCAGAGTAAATCTGAGAGTGGGAACTTGGATTCTGCACTGTTTTTCCCAACTTTATTGAAGTAATTTCCTAAGCTGACATGGAGTAAGGCAAGTAGTTGACTTTATTCTTTGTCTACATGAAGTTGTATATATTTGTTCATATAACATGTTTTATCATATTCATCATCTTTATTGCCTCCAAATGAAAAAACCCTCAAAGTTCTTATTTCAAAATATGTTGGTCTGCATCTGGGAGGAAGATTACTGTGAGGGATGAGTGAGCAGCAGGAAAATGCAAGTGAGAGTGAAGAAAGGAGTCAGGATTGTGGACTTTTGAAGCTTCTTTGCTAATTCTCAGATTCAGATTGTTAACTTCCTTCTACAATCAAGGTCAGTTTTAGGAACAGGAAAAACAGGCGAGCTAGGAGCTGAACCAGCACCGTCCTGGACAGACCTTCAGAAGGGTTGTAGGTGCCCAGAAGGACAGCTGATGTCACTTCCTGACAGGCTTTAACCTCAGTCCTGACCTAAAGAGGCACATGGAACCCAGGCTCTGGCTTGAATCCCATGTGGAATTTTTTGGCATATTCAGGGCAATGGGAGTCTTAGAATCTTGCTGCTTCTGCCCCAGAGTCATAGAGCAGTCCGCTGCGGGTTTCCTGGCCTGGCATCCTCTGTTCCAAGCGCCTCCACTTGCCAGAAAACATGGAGCTCTAGATGATTCCAGGAACAGGGTGCACTCTACTATAGGCCTGTGGCTGTAGCTCCAGCTCTTCTCACCTCATCCAACAGCGATGATCCCCACCCTTCTGGGTCTGGCTTTTTATGGGTCCCAGCTTCACTCCGACGACTCCATCTGCCCAGAGTGCCTATGCCTTCTCCCACTTCACTATTTAGTGAGCCACAGTTGTCTCTCCCACCCTTCCCAGGAACTTTATTATTTCTTTACCTAGGTTTGAGAAGTAATTCACCCTTACTACCTTCTCTTTTTGGGGTGCCCACTGTGCACAAGTCACTTGCAAGAAAGACGTCAGCTCAACCAACAAGGCTGTTCAACCCTATTGCAGATTTTAAGAGGAGAGGAAACAATTACATGCTCAGCATGTAGCTAGTAGCAAGTAGTAGAATCTGTATGGAAACCCTTTTTCTCATTTACCTCTTTTATAGCATATCACATATTGCTTTATTTTCGTCTGCCTGCTTTATTTTACCTTCCCCACCAGACTGTGAAATCCTCTGTGACTTATCTCTTCCCTTCCACCCTGACCCAAACATCTGGCCTCAGGCTTGTTCTATAGCCCTTGTTCCATAAATAAGTGTTTATGGGAGGACCAAATGAGTGAGTGAATCAAAGTTTGGAACGGTTACCAAGTAGCTTCAGAGGAAGAAAGAGGCAGCAAGACAGACTAAAATCCAATTTGGCAAATTTAACGTAATACTTGCAGTAATAATTTTTTGCCATACAAATTTGACCATCGTGAGAGTCTTTGTAAATAGGACTCATAAAAGACCCCAGGGCTTAATTTACTTAGTGGCCTTTCTTAGAGAAAAGCACAGTACCTATTTCTAATAATGTCACTGAAATATGACAATTTCAATTTCAACAGTGTTAGTCCCACACAGGTACCTTTCTAGTTCTATACCAGGCCGTGTGCCAAGGCAATTTGGGAAGGAGGGCTTGTTGGCATTTGAAGTGGCTGGTTGCTGTGCTCCATTGCCACAATTGGAGGAAGATGGACAGGGAAATGAGGTCAGGGATTCTGTGCAGTGGCCAAGTGCCTGGGACACCCATGGGGAACCCAAAGGGCCAGCGGGCATTCCCAGTGCTATCAGAAACGCAGAAGGTTGCAACATCGCCAAAACCATTGCCTCCTGTGGTTTTTGACCCTTAGACTAAATAACACACTGCTCACTGTTGGGCTACTAACGTGCTTTTCGGTACAACTGATTCATTAAGGGAATGAGTCAGGCCTGGAGAGGACAGTTGACTATGACCTACTCAGTTTGCTTTTCTGTTTTTTCTTTTGCACGGTTCTGGGGATGAAACCCAGGGTCTGGCACGTGCTACACAAGCCTCTGCCACTGAGCTACACCCTCAGTGCTCACTCTGCATTTTCAGAAGCTGCAGTGAGTGACTCAGGATAGGGCCAAATGGAAAATTTGGAACATCATGCCCTCTGTTTCCTGTGATGGTTCCCTCTGTCCCATTAGAATCTATAAAACAACATAGCAGACAGAATTCCCTAAAAAATTGAGCATAGAGCCCCACAAAGAGAAGTTTCCATTCCAAAGGAGTCATCTGTGATTTTGGAGCTAATGGGAATTCAATCTGCTGTCTCATTTTAGTGTCTTTTTAAAAAGTATTTAGACTGTTCAAAATTATTTATATAAGAAACCCTCCAAGGTAGATGATTCTATTATCGTATTCATTTGTTTTGGCAGGGAAGGGGTATGGGGAAGAATATATTTACCAGTCTAACTTGCCCCAAACCCAGAAGTATTAATAAATGCTATGATTAGAAAAGGGAGGAAAGAAATCAATGTTTATACAGAGAAGAACTTACTTTATGGCATTATTATGCATTTTAAATTGTAGAGAGAAAGAGGAAACCAGTTGGGATGATTAAAATTTAAATTTCTTCTTCAGAGAATCGATGACAGATTTAAATGGCTCAGATGGTATATGTGGTAGGATTATAGCTGAAAATATTAAGCAGTGTTACACTGATTTATGTATGATGAAAATTTAATTTGGTTTTAAGTAAAATATTTCAAGGATATTTTAGCTAGTTTTCTTTTTCCTACTTCTTTGTTTTGTTGTAAATTGACAATTTATAATTGTATAAACTTATGGGACACAAAGTAATGTTGTGATTTATTAATACATTGTGAATAATTAAATCAAGTTAACATACCCATTACATCAGGTACTTGAAGGGCTATTTGTGGTGAGATCATTTGAAATTTACAGTTATTATCAATTTTTGAATATACAAGATATTTTAATATTTGCTATATTCACTGTACTGTGCAAAAGAAAAAAAATTAAATACATATTCTTCCAGTCTGAGATTTAGAGCCTTAACTAAGGATTCTTTTTATTCTGGAAAACTCATTTTAAAACTTGATATGATCATTTGTCTGGTATGCAGGAGACCCTGGGTTCAATCCCCAGTACAACAAAACAAAACAAAAACCCACTTTGACTTCAATTGTCTTGGTGGCCCAAGTTTTGCTCTTCTTTTTTTCTTTCAAATGCAGAACCACAGGGGCAAAAAATTACGTGAAAGAAACCACTTTTTTTTTTTTTTTTGGAGAAAATTTCTACAGAAAGTCAATTATATATTAGGCATATAACTTGTTATTTGAACAACAATGTTGAATTGTGCCAAACCCGTTACACGGGTAAACAGACGTGTCATTACCCACTAATGTGAGTAGCCATAAGCGGTGCTATAGGAGAATAGATTGCAGATTATAGTAAGACAAGCTAAAACCCTCTAGGTTTTATTTTAGAACTCTGCTTTTCTAGAAACACCCTGATTCCATATGGCGCACCAGAAATCTAGAAAGTAGACATCGAAAATGTTCATGTTTAATGTAGTGATTAATAGTCACAAATTATCAATAATTAGAGACATGAAACCACCTTTAAGGGAATTGGTCCTCGGTTGGATAAAAATCTGTGGGTGCTCAATCCCTTAAATGAATTGTCAGATTATTTTTATGTTATTTACACACATCCTCCTGTATAGTCTATATACTTTATCCTTGATAAGTCATCTCTAGATTTCTTCTCATACCTAACACAGTGTGAGTGCTGTGGAAATAGTTGTTTTTAACTCTATTGCTTAGAGAATAATAACAAGAAAAAAGTCAGTACATGTTCAATACAGATGCAGTTTTCAAATATTTTCTATCTGCAGTTCGTTGAACCCACAGATACTGAGGACTGGCCATATATTAACTACTTTTAACCGATGTGAATCTGCAATATGTATACCAGGTAAAAATGGGAGTTCATAATCCGCTTGAATCAAATGTATGAAATATGATATGTCAAGAGCTTTGTAATGTTTTGAACAACTAATAATAAAAAAAATTAAAAAAATATATGTTAACTACTTTTTATAAAGATTCCACCAGAAATACTGATTTCAACTGTTTCAGTCTTTAAATAAACAATAAGTGAGTGAAATTACATAGGTTTCTCTTTTTGGGGTCTCCCAAATGTGTGCCCAGCCCCTCACTCTCTCACAACAGGAAGCAACTGAGGGGGAAGCAATTGATGAGGAAGCGCTGGGTTCTTTCACCCATTCACCCCACAGCTGGTCTGTGACTGGCATTATGCCATGCACTTTGTGTGGCTCATTTAAAAGACACAAGTGTAGTAAACTCACTTGGGGATATTCATAGTTAGGCTTAGTTATACTTCAAACCAAACACCATTGGTTAAAAAATATAATCTTGTTTGAGTTCTTAGAACAATTTAAAATTATAACAATATCAGAGTTTAAAATTAGTATCTTCACATAAACAGCTTACTAGTTTTTACAAGTACATTCTAACTCATTTGGGGGGGGGGGGAATTGTGAATATCAGCTTGTATAAAGTGAAACTTCCAATGTCTGAATTATCACAATCTGTATCTTCAGCATTTCTGAATAGCATTAATAAAAACCCCTATTTGCAGCTAAACTCACCTGGGTGGTGATGTAACTTTTTCAGAATGTGGAATGGTGCTGTTGGTCCACTGGGCCAGGCCCCTGGGTTTTCCTAGTGAGTTTGAAACCCTAACCTGTTCTCATGCCCCAACCTGATTCTGTCCTATTTCAGATGAAAGCTGGTTGCCATTAAACCTGTGAGCAATTTCCAGTAATATGTCCCTAACAGCAATGCCAAGTGAAATAATATCTGTCTTCATGATTTTGATGGATCTTTAAAAAAAGTCTTCTACAGAATTAATGTCTTAGTCCCGTTGAGCTGCTATAACAAAAATACCATAGTCTTGAGTAGCTTCAACAACAGCAGTTTATTTCTCACAGTGCTGGAGGCTGGGAAGTTGAACATCCAAGATGCCAGCATGTTTGGCATCTAGTAAAAGCCCACTGCTTGATTCATAGACATATTTTTACTATCTCCTCACAATGTGGGAGAAGAACTCTGTTTTGTTCAGCTTCTTATAAGAGCACTAGTCTCATTCATGAGAGACTAGTGCTGCCCTCATGATCTAATCACCTTCCAAAGGTTTCATTTCTGAGTACCATTCCTTTGGTGATGGGGTCTTAACCTGTGAATTTTAGGGGAACACTTTCAGACCATAGCAAAAGAAAAAACCTGTTTGGGAGTGTTTCATTAATAAGTACCTACCGGCCATGGATCTTTAGTGGTATTCCGTGGGTTTTCATATCTGTAATTGCTTTAGATTCAGGTCCTAACAAATACTTCATAAAACAGAGGAACAGTGTAAAAGCAAAGGAGAGGGTAAGTGACTCCTCATTGTCACGTGAGGTTCAGAAAGCCACAGACTTGCTGATAGCCTCTAATCCCTTTTCTTTGGTGTTCTGCGTTTTAAAGTCCTCAAAACTGTCCTGCTGTTGGTTATCATCTGCACATTTAACATGTTTGATCTAGCCTGACCTCTGGGACTTTAATGAGCATGCTCTGGCCCTTAAGAAGAGAAAGACCCACTAATAACAAAAAGGCCAGTATTTGTACAGGTAGACTGTATTTTCTAATATTTTTCTGTGATGTGAGATGGAAGCAACAGTTCTGATAGATTCCATTTATTACTGTACCCTGTGTCCCAGGAAGAGATAGTATTAATCTGAGATAATTACTTGTATAATACTATAAGTCTGTTTGCTTTATACTGGATAGTCATTTATAATGGTAATGCGACAGTAACAAATTAGTTATTTCCATAAATTCTCAGAATTCTGTGAAAGCTATAGTTCGATATAACACGCAAAAATGTGTATCAGCATTCTCAAGTGTGTTCATTCCAATCTTGTGGCCTCCATCACCCTAGCCAGCCTCACAGAGCTTTCTGTTCTTGATAATGCTACTCATCTCTTTGGAACCCTGGGCATGGCCCAACGCTGGACTTAACCACCCAAATGAGATTTGCTTCTTAGTTACCTGAATAGGTTGTGGGGGGCCTTCGATATATAGTAGTCACCTCTTATGCACAGAGGATATATTCCAAGAACCACACTAGACATCTGAACCCCTGGATAGTAGCAAACCCTATACATAAGGTGTCTTTTCTTCTACATACATACCTATGATAAAGTTTAATTTATAAATAAGGCACAGTAAAAGATAACCGTAGCTAGTATTAAAATAGAATAGTTAGAAGACTATAAGGCATCTGTAACTAATATTAAAATAGAAGAATTATAAAATTATACTGTAATAAAAGTCACTTAAAACGTAGGAGTTGTTTATTTCTGAAGTTTTTCACTTAACAGTTTCAGACTGCTGTTGACCACAGTTAAGGGGATACTGCCATGTTTGCTGGCATGGAGGTGAGAGGCCAAACCACTAGGTGAAGTTGGATGTGTTCAGTAAGGGTGAACTATTATCAGTCCAAGCCAGGCACTATTCTTAAATGTTTGCCATGTGTTCATACGTTGAACTTCACCCTGACTTCACCTCCTAGGAAATGAGTTATATTTTTATCCCTGTTACAGATGAGCACACTGAGACACAGAGAATTTAAGTGACTGCTGAAGGATGTGCAGCTTGTCATGGAGACGTGATATTTAAACCCAGCAGGTTCATCTCAGTTCCGTGCTGTGTTGCCTCTGATAATGGGCAGTGTGGGAGATGGACTGAAATCAGCCTCTAGAAAAGCCTGGTGTTTTGGGGCCACCTGCTCCTCTCTTATTGGAAAGTTGGTTGGTTTTATTGTTTGCTGATTTTTTTTTGTAATTTGTAAGTGGATCACTATAAATTCTTGACAGATCTTGACAGATTGCTCAGAATCTGTGACTCATCCCATTTTCTAAAATACTCCATTGCTTACCTGCCTGTGCCATCCTCATTCCCCGCACCGTGCAGTCCTAAAGACTACTTTCCTGATTCATTTTCCATTTTCTTTAGAACTACAAAAAGGAATTTCCTTTGTATGTATTTTGTCTAAATAAAGAATGATATTAGTATACTATTTTGTTAGAAAATAAATTCTGTGACGAGTACATGTATCTTTATGCACAAACATACACATTAACTCAAAGCAGAGCTAGGGTCCCATCAAAATATGTAACAGCTTTGAGGGACTTGCCTATCTCTGACCCTTGTTTTTCAGGTCAGTACTGTGCGGCAGATCACTGGTGATGCATTTTTCAAATGTATTGGAAAGTGTATTGCACTGAACATAATTTAGATTAGAGAAAAAACTTTATTCCTGATAAAAAGTAGTGTTAACAGGCAGAATAGCATAGTAATTATGGGGTTTGAAAGTCCAAAAGGTCTGGATAAGAATCCTAGCTCATCCACTGAGCTGCACTTCTACTTCTTGCAAGTTGATTCACTTATTTGACAGAATTTGTTCATCAGGTACTGTTGTAGGCCCTACAAATACAGAAAAGGAAAAAAAAAAGCAGAGCAAGACTGTTCAAAGGAACTGACATTCTACTAGGGAAGATGGTAAATAAATAGATGCATGGTGATACTATTGACTTCATCTTTCATTTCCCCAGAAATTATCTGTTTTCTCCACCACTATCATGATTACAACCTCTTGAATTATTGCATTAGCCTGTTCACTGGCCTGTTTCTCGCCAGACCTCCTGTTCTCAATAAACCAGCCAGACAACTCTTCCTAACTCTCATGTCGTACTCCTCTCTGGAATCGTAACTGCACAGTAGAGTTCCAGGTTGCATGGAGCTGGACACAGTGCTTATAGAAATTATATGGTCAAGCTCATTATCTCTGTGCCTCTTCTCCCAGCACCACCCACACCTCTGCACTTGTCTTTCTAAACATCTCTGTGATTACCCTTTTCCTCCTTCAAAACTGTGCTCAGATGCCCCCTTTCCCTGCTTGGCCTGTGGAGCAACACCTAAATATGGAAGAAGCTGGCTTACTTGTTCCACATACAAATGCACAACCCTGAAATGCAGACCAACTGCAGTCCACAATATTTCTCAAGTTCCATTAGCCCATCAGTAGCCTATCAGTAGAAGGTGAAGGGGGTCGTCTTCTTCATTGACATTTAAATTTAGATGTCACGACAGTAAGTGAATCCAGAGATTATGAACAAATGAACCATTCACTTTTTAGAAAGAGGTAAGAAGATAAGTTAATTACCTTATTTGTTCTTGTCCAGAGTATATTCCATTTCAGTCTAACAACTGTCAGTTCCAGAGGTTGGAGGAAGAACAAATGGTAGAACATTAGCAATGGTTTGTTAACTCAAAACCTTCTCGAGCTTCTCCTTAATGGGAGTTACTTGGCGTTTGGGGGCTGCTTCTGGGATTCCAGCCTAGGTATTCCCTCAAGACCTAAAGAAAAACAACTGAGAAGGCCAGGTAGTACGTCTCTCAGGACCTCTTGGGATGGCTGAAAGCAAAGAGTCTCTTTTGTGGCAGGTTTATTTTGTAGTATTTTTGTACAACTCTGTCCAGAATCCCTTAAGCAGGAGCCCTGGGTAGGGGGCAATCAATTGCAGGTAAACCAATTATGGAATCTAAGTGAAGTAGTGTATCTGAGTCTAATAAAGCAGAAGGCAAGCCGAGTTACCCTAAAGGGTTGATGGATTCAATGTGATACTTTCTTGGTGACTGCTGGAGGTAGTTACAAGAACAAAGAGGACTTGGTTCAAGGGTACTCCCCAGTGGGATGATCCAGGAGTCAATATTCAGGAAAGAGAGAAAATGTAGAAAGGGGAAAGCTGCAGAGATCTCAGCACAGTTGTTCTATAGACGCACAGAGCCAAGAGTAGGGGTGGCACATTTGGGGGCGGCCTTAACCTCTCAGCACTTCAATTTCTTCCTTGA